CAATTTTAGTTTTATTTTGATTACTTTTAACTAGTATAATATTATAAATTTTACATATGTATGTAAGTAGTACTTAAGTTCATAACTATACAAAATTAATAGTTTTAAAAACCTTTATATTAAATTATGGCTAATCCTATGAAACTTTTTAAATTTAAAATTATGTTTTTAAATATTTTAAATTAATGCTAAGCATTAAACAAGGCTGTGTTATTTAGCCAAACTCTAGTTTATATATAAGTAGATAAATCATACAGGGCATTTCTTAAATATAATTTAGTAAAACACTAATTTTATCTACTCACTAAAAACAGGGAGTATTCTAACCAATTTTGTAGAAAAATGTCCCTACATAAAACCAAAAGTTAAAACTTAATTGGCACAGTATGGAAAGAACATTACAGTCACTCGCGCTATTTATGAAATCGGGGTCTGCTAATTTAATAAACTTGACTGATCCGAGATCATGTTGGAAGCAGAGTTTTTAAACTGTGATTACAGGAACGTATACCTTACTTTTTCATAGTTGTCCATACTATAGTATTAATTTGAACACCCTGTTTATCATTATGATTTTAGTACTTATTGTATGTAGCAACGAATAATTTTACCAGTGAGTATTTAAAATATTTTATGTAAATTATACTTACATTAAAACGCTAGTCAACTAAGTTAATAAATCTGTGACTATACTTGTACAAAAAAAATAATCCGTATTTGTTAAAAGTGTTAAAATAAATTCTTGTATCTCAATGTAAGATGTGAGCAAATAAAAATGTAAAATGTAAATATTTTGGGTTTTATTTTTTGTTGAAATACGTCCTTAAAAAATCAATGAGATGGAGTCAAAATTTTTGTCATAGCCAACCCAACCAAAATTAGGGGTCTTCGTGGTTCTCAAAAGCAAATATGTACTTACATTTGCTTTGCAGTGGACTGTATAATTGTGCTCCCAAACAACTTTAGATATTTTCAGACAATGAAAAAAATGACTTTTGTGTAATGATTAATAGTTATTTATGTTACCAGTGTGTTATGTTGAAAATAAGTCACGCGAGAAAGATTGGGTATAAATTCTCAAGTGACTTAGAAAACATAACACGCGAGTGGCATACAATGTTTTTATCCAAATCTTTTTTTATGAGATAATAATTAATAAGCTTTGTGATCAAATCAAAGCTACTTGCATCTCATTACCCTATAATGTCAGAATGACTTGACAGTGACTTATTTACATTTTGGTCAAAGTAGGTTGTTTGTTGGGTTGCCACGGGCATGATAGATTGTTAGCAAATGTTTAAATAAATTTTGACACTTGTCAGTTTTCCCTTCAGAAAAGGGAAGCTTGTTTGAAGAAAAAAACGTATAGAAAATAGAGGAAACCGATGAAAATTACGTTCCTGAGGATATCCTTACGAAAGCGGAAGAAGCAGCGATGCAGATTTTGCCAGAAAAGTCCCGAGATGCTTACGACAAGGAGTTCAAAATGTTTGAGTCTTGGATGAATTCACGGAAGATAAAAGGTATCGATGAAAATCTTCTATTGGCTTATTTTTTACATTTGCAAAAAAAATTAGCCCCATCGTCGCTATGGACCAAATACTCGAAGCTTCGCTCGACTATTCACCTTTATAAAAAATCGACATTTCAAAATATGGCAAACTAACGAGCTTTTTGAAAAGCAAATCACCGGGATACGAACCAAAGAAGTCCAAGACATTAGAACGACCTGAAATAGAAAAGTTTTTGAACGAAGCTCCCTACGACGAGTAGGCTTTGATAATGGGGATTAGCGGTACTTGTAGATGCGATGAATTGGTCAAAAAATATAAAATATTCAAGACAAAGGGAAATATTTTCACGTAGTTTTGCCAGAAACTAAAACCAAGAAATTGAGAAGTTTCACCATACTTGATAAAGGATTTCCAGTCAACCCGATAAATTTGTGTAAAAAAATACATGTCTTTGAGACCAAAGAAGCCGCTTTTGTATTTTTTGTAAAAATGGGAGGTGTACCAGCCAGTGTGTGGGAACAAATACGTTGTCGCAGATACCTTCAAGAATTGCAATGTTTTTAAAATTGGAGGAATCAGCGCTCTACACCGGTCACTGCCTGAGAAGGTCTTCGGCGACCCTTTTGGCTAATGCAGGGGCTAACATGACTACTTTGAAGCGTCACGGAGGATGGAAGTCCTCGACGGTAGCAGAAGGATACCTAGAAGAATCGGTGCATAACAAAAAACAAATTGTAGAAAAAATACAAGGTTCTAATGCGTCGGCGTCTTCCAGCACTATCAGCAGCTGTACCGATAAGGGAGCGTCTGGTTCCAATGAATCAACGAATTTTACAATGACATCAAATGATAGTTTATTGTCTAAAATGACATTAATAATGACAGTCATAACTGTCGTGTTGGATAAACATCATTTGTCCTTGTCCGCTTCTAACTACTCCAACACTATTTCCAGAGGTGTTTCAATTTTACAAACCAGTCCTGGATAGCTACATTAGAGATGACATTTAAGAAAGTATAAACCGTACTCTCTAAAGCAAAAGTTAGTGAGTTCCAGCTTGGAAAATAAACGTAACAAACTTACTTTGGAAAAAATTCATTTTTATTTAAATATAATTTTGAATAAAGCTTTTATCAGAACATTAAAAAAGTGATAATAAAATAAATCAATTTATGAAAACCATTGTGGTGCGGCAAGATATGCATGTACGTGTAAATGTTGGTTTTATTTAAATTGTGAAATACGACATACATTTTAACAATATTCACTTTTATTTGGAGCTCTACTACAAAAATCCACACAATTTTATTAGGTGAGTATTAATATTTTATTTTTTTAATAAAACGTGTCACAAACATAACCATGTCAACGGATATGTCCAAAATTATTAAAAAAGTGATTTAAAGAGGATCCATTTTTTTTGTAAATATTTACACATGAAGCTATCAATTTTTATCTCTTGGTAAACGATAAATTATCTATGTATAAATTACTTTAAATTCATGGTTATGGAAATGCTAAATGGATCTATTATAATAATTACTGCAAGCAGCTATAAATTCATTAATGAAATTTTCAGAGAAAAGTAACCCTTTGATAGTAAATTACCGCGGTTTGGGTTTAATTCCATGTCAAAGCTAATTTTTATATATCAAAACTTGTCTAATGCATTCTATCGAAACCTTTCACCAATTAATTACCAGCTCCACAAACAATTGTTTGTTGGAATAAATTTAAAAATAAACAATGCTTTGATCGTTTAATCTTGAATTCAAAGGTACCCACGTAATGCCCTATTTCTATCATCTATAGATGATAGGTAAGCTTTTAAGCTTTAGGAAGGCTTGTTCTTGAAAAACTTTGCTTTAAGCTGCCTCCCACTGTCTATATTTTAAGAAGCTATTGTCGATTATATGCATAATTTACCTAAGGATTAATATTTCTTGCAAAATTAAATATCTAGCTATAAATAGATATATTCTTTTATCTACTTTTATTAGTCCAGGAAACAAAGATTGTAGGAGGAAAACTCGATGGTAGTCGGGTTTTATTTTTTATGGACTTTTTTCAAAAGTTACTGCTTTTCAAAGTACAGGGGGTTCTTTTTTCAAAACTTTAATTTTTGTGGGGCACTTGCAATGAAAATAATTTAAAAAAAACTACGGATTCGTTACGAGGATAAGTGTACCTAAAAATCTAGGGTAGAACGAACTGGCTCATTAAAGCCGTTTGGGAAAATGGGTTTTTATAACATTATAAATTCCCTGCCTAACAACGAAAATAATGAACTCATTATTTACGTTGTCACGCACAAGTGATTGGCCAATTTCAATATTCACTGTGATTTAAACCAATCGGGTTTTAAGTATGGAAAAGGCGACTATAATAACATCTAAAATTGGTAAAAAGTGAGGTTAACCTTTTGACAGATGTCAGATTTTATTTATTTACTTTTAATAATCATTTAATTATCTACTTATTGAAGTAGATTAAGTATAGTATTACAGTATAGTATAATAATGTAATATTATCCACTCCTATTGCATAATATTGTTTTTTTTTTTGTAAATAATGATAAACATAATAAATATAAATAATAAACTCATTATTGACGTTGTTAGGCATCAGTGATTGGTAAAAAAGTGAGGTTAACCATTTAACCTATTTTATTTAATTATTTATTTTTAAAAATCATTTAATTATCTACTTATTGGAGTAGATAAAGTATAGCATTAGATTCAAGATTATGCGTATTATTACTTGAATGATTTGAGTCTCTCGTCTGGCAACCCGAGAAGCAAACCTCATCCTCATGAATAATAAATAGCCAGCTGATATTCCTTTAACTTTAATATTATTTTGAACCATTTCCTTGTGTACGTATTACAGAATATTCTACAGTGTGTATTAGAACGAATAGATACACTTAAATAAAACAAGTGCCAAACCCCGCCCACTGTGGTAGAGATTGAATTATTTTCGTTATTTTAGAATTATTTTTGTTTGAGAATTTATAGGTTTTATTTTTATCGAATTCGTTTGTTTTGTTTTAATGCATTTCTGCAAATAAAAACTAAGTATTGTTTAAAATCCATTAAATTCCAGTTAATGGCGAAAATGTATTTCTTAAAAACTATACACATTTCCCTACGACAGCGTCGGATCTACTGAACAAACAAAGTAGATCAAACTGCATGCCCTTGTATCTGGCTGCATGCCGCGCTGTTGCCATATGCTATTATTGTTTCCTAAAAGGGTTGTTACTCTTATTTTTTAATATTAAAAGTTAGAAAATTAACTAAATCAAATTATGTTTGACATATTATTAATTTTTTTGTTATTTTTAAAGTTTCCAACAAATAAAAAAATTTTATATCTTCCAATTCCTTTCAAAATTCGTAAGAACGTTCTTGGTGGTAAAAAATTCTTTATAAGGCACATACGCTCCTTTGAAGTCTTAATGGAACAATAAAAAAGACAAAAAATAACAAAATGAACTTTATTAAAAATAAATAACTTAATATAAATTATTTAAAACATTTTATAGAAATCTTAACATTCAATTTTGATTACAACTTTCCCTTGCACACTCACACTGCCATTCTCCCCGGCCAAAATACACGCAATCTCTTCACTGGTTTTCCCTTTGGTCTCAGGGACCAACATAGCAACAAATAAAGACCCCAATGCACATACAATGCCGAAAACACCGAAGGTGATACCGATACCGACCCCTTGCACCATGTTCTGAAACTGGTTGGTGACAGTGAACGCCAAGGTCCAGTTCAAACACGCCGAAATCGAGCTGGCGATCGGTTTGGTTTTCGGCGGGAACAGTTCCCCCACCATCATCCACGGGATTGGTCCGAGGCCCATCGAGAAGAATACGATGTAGGTGGCGACACTGATCAGCGGTACGACGTTCAAGCTGGAGAGGTTGTAGTATAGGCTTGTGTAGAAGTAGGTGCCCAGTGATAGTAGTGATAAGCACATCACGAAGTCCGATGTGAGGAGGAGGATTTTACGGCCGGCTTTGTCGATGAGGATGGTCGAGGCGAAAGTTGCAAGGACCTGCAATAATTTCAATTGTTACTAATCAAGCTTGGTTTAAATTTAAACCGCAAGTGACAACCCTGGCGAAAATAAAGCGTGCATGAAAAGTGTGCAATAAGTGTGTATTTGGAGTGCAAGTCTTTATAACAATGTGCATACACGCTACTCTGTGGTAATTTCACACTTTTTGAAATAATTAAGTTTTTTCACTCTTTATGTACATTGACATCACGCTTTTTATTTGTCATATGTCACGCTTATATTACATTATATTTTAGCACATTGTTAGCACAGTGTTAGTACATTGTTTAAAGACATTTTGCAAAGCTTCAGTCCATCTTACGCATGTCACATTTTATACACACTGTTAGCACGCTTTAATATTTCTAATTTATGACGCTTATATTACACCTTTTATAGCACATTGTTTGTACAGCTTTAGCATCTCGCTTGAGTTGGGGTACAACATTTATTTAAAAGATGAGGTAGATTCCATCTTATGTATCGCTTCTCAGCCTATTGCTAAGATCAAAGCAATCCCCTTTGGTGGAGTTGACAGTGCAGGTATTTTTCTTAATAAAATACAGTATGTAGGACCTACATTGTGGGTATTTTTTTTTATTTAAAAAAAATATATTTATTTGATTAATATTATTATAAGGATATTTATATTTCAATTATGTGTAAATTTAAAAGACTTTATAGGTCACCAAAAAGAATCTCTTTTTGTAATAGGCACACAGGTGGCAAGAAACAGTGTGCAAACAATGTGAAAAATCAAAAGGAGTTCCCTTTAGAACATTGTCCAGTGATTATTCACACTTTTAAATTTTTGATTTTGCACATTGTTTCATGTTCCATTTCCCACCCTCCGCACATCATTTTTTTAAAAGATTGCACATTGTTGGCACATTGTTCTCAAATAATTTTGCACACTTTTTGCACATTTCATTTTCGCCAGGGAACCACTAAACAAAATCGGTATTTTAGATACTGAACTGTCCTTCGAGTTTCTTTCGTTTGTATATTCAAATGCCGCAGCAAACAAGTTTTACTTCAACACCAAAAATACACAATAAAATCCCACACGAGATAAATTACACGTGCTTTTATTCTCCCCGGTTCTTTGACTTTGTTTGTCAGGGAAAACGGAAAATAGGATGTTTGTTTATTTAGCTTCCGGCGAAATAAAAAAGTAGTTTTTCATTAAAAAAGGATTTAAAACGGGGGTTTTTTTGAGCATGTGACGTGTAAAATTTACCTGTTTTTTTTTGTAAAAGTAATAATTTTAATTACCTAAAGGTCTTCTCATTTCTATAAAAGGTTTATAATAGTAATAAAATAACCCAGAGTTATTCAGGTTTTAAAGTGGTCACATCGATTACTTATCGACAAAAGTTTTATAACATGGTTGCGGAAAACTGTTCATTAACTCTCTTACAAAACCTTTAGTTCATAGCATCTCAAGTTTTATAACCAGGTTATATATCTTTTTTGTAAATTTATGTATAAAACTTGTTTTATAAAGGAAATTATTCACAATATTTTGTTACTAGATTTGATTTTATAAATCTTCTGGCTGCGAAGAATTTTTTAGGTTGTTTTTATACAACGTTGAGTACTTCAGTTTCCTTTATATAACTAGTAGTAGTAATAATAAACAAAACTTATATTAAAGTCCAATTGGGACATAATGACCACTACGTGTTTTTTAACTATAAAAATTAATAAATTTCCTTTATATAATTTAAGGTGTGGACTAAATTATAAATACATATACTGTTTAATTTTATGTTAAACAATTTATAAAAAAATATGCTTTAAAAATTTAGTAAAGCTTAAAAACAATAAACTATAACTATAAAGGTTTTTTAAAGGTGATTTCTACTATTAGTAGCGTATTCTAGGTTATTGTAGTTAGTAAGTGAACTGTTCAAAATTTCATGACCATTTTAACACCAAATTAACACCATACATGGTCTATATCGATACAAACCAAAATGGTGTTAAATAAGGTTCGTTGGTCCAGTGTAAGTTCGAATACTAAAATAGTGTAAATTTAACTTTCACACAGTATTAAAATAAATTTTACCTGTTGTAAATCATACTACACAGTAAAAAAGGAAAAAAAGGAAACAGGAAGTTCCTTGACGCATTACAAGTATATTAATAGTGGTATTATTCCAGAAAATTGAACCTTCAACTCGCTAGAGATGATGTTTTTAGTGCGTTCCACCAACTTAAAATACTTCAAATATTGACAGCTGTTTCCACCTATTTAAGGTCTCTTTAGTATCGAACAACTTCACTGAAAGAAATATATGTTTGTTTTAGCAATGTTTGTGGTTCATATATGGACTACCACATACATTGCTAAAACAAACATATATTATATTTAGTTTTAACATAATATGTTAAAACTAAATATAAAAATGGTTAAGGTAAATATATTATATGTTTGTTTTAGCAATGTATGTGGTAGTCCATATATGAAACATAAATTTCTTTCAGTGTTGTAGTGTCACACCAAAGCAAAGGACTACCTGAGCTTATATACTCTTCATGTAAGTCAACAGAGGCGAGATTTAAGAACTTCACGTGATCCACACCGCCTTTGCCGCGATCGGTACATACAATGCAACAAGGAATGCACGGCTAATTGTTTTAATCGTTTTAACAGAGTGCTTTAGGTTGAAGTCTCTTATTTTACAAACAACATATTTAGTAAACTGACCCATACAGCGTGATGGTTTCACTACGTGAGTTTTCTGGGTTAATTTAACCAATTTAAAAAAAAAATAACTATCTGGTTTAGTACCGTCAAACTAATCTTTGTATATATTAACCTTTCCACAGTTGATTTAAATAAATACTTATGGGTCAACTAAATTAATATAGTTAAATGAACTATTCCTTTTTTTCTGTGCAGGTGCACTTCTCAAATATTTTTAGATAAACACCTTTTTGGTGTTTGCTGTATATAACATTTTTAACCATAATTCATGGTGTTATATTAACACCACTTGGTGTTGGATTTTGACACCATTTTAAGATTACTCTTCACACCACAGATATTTTACACAGTGTGAACAGTAGAGTGTCTCAAAAAAACCGACTATTTTTTTTTAAAGAACATTGAAAATTCGTCAGAGTATCTCTAGAAAATGACCCTGTGAAAGTAAGAGCTCTTAATATTAATATTTAGATGTGGCGTTTTGTAATTTTCTATTTCCCATTTAAATAACATGGGAAATTTTTATTTTCAAATTTGGAATTTTGTAACGTGATAACGAGCTACTTTATAAGTATGACGAATTCCTTATAGGAAATTTAACCCTCTACAAAAAAGGTCTGATTGACTTTTTGCGTAAGACGTTTCAAAGATATCGAGCCTCAAACTTCAGAATGTTAAAAATTAGGCTTTTTTTTCTTAAATGCAAAAAAATCAGGAGACAACAGAAGAAAATTGATATACAGTGAAATGGACCATTAACATGACTATATAAACAGTAAATATATTATTAATACATAATGTAAATAAATTTATAGTAAACTTCTACCAAATATTTTTAGGTAAGTGAATATTTTTTGCTAAAAATCAATAAAAATTATCATTTATCAAATTATTAAGAATTTTAGATCTGCATTCCATCAAATATATGCATATATTTATTCTCAAGTTAATAATTTTGGGTCTTAAATACATATAAATTGATTTTTTTGTATTTAAGAAAAAAAAAGCATAATTTTAAACATTCTGAAGTTTGAGGCTCGATATCTTTGAAACGGCTTGACTTATGCAAAAAGTCAATCAGACCTTTTTTGTAGAGGGTTAAATTTCTTATAAGGAGTAATTTCGTCATACTTATAAAGTAGTAGTTTGTTCTTTGGAAAAAAAAATAGTCGTTTTTTTTGAGACACTCTAGTGAACAGTAATAAACTAGGTAAGGTAAAACAATGTCATTAGGATCCTGAAGAAATATAATATTTACCTGAACGGATCCTAAAAGTATAGCACACGCATCTGGCGACATACTGCTTCCAGATTTCTCGAAAATCTCTCCAGCGTAGAAAAGGACGGCGTTGATGCCGCTCAATTGCTGGAACAACATCAAACCGAGGCAGATAATTAGTGCTCTTAGTGTTGCTCGATCGTTTATCAAATCTGACAACCCCGCTTTGTTGGATTGGCTTGCTCTCAGGTCGTCCCGAATCCTGGACGTTTCTTCCTCGATGTCGTAGTCCTCGCCTAAGGCAATGAAATATGTCGGGCTGGGTAAATGGAGATAATAACATGGGATAATGTAGTTTGCATGTAGTTAACACTTGTGGTCCCATTTATTTGGCTTATCAGTTGGTTAGTTTTTTGAGCATTTGAGCAATTCATAATTATTAGGGTGTTCCAAAAAAAGTCGATATTTTTTTTTTTCGATTGCACGTGAAATTCTTGTTATATATGCTATAAAAAAAATTCTGTAAAAATTTGAGCCCTTAATATCAACTTGAAGAACTCCATCATCGAATTTTAAGATTTTCCATTGATTTAACATGCATGTTCCATGGAAAAATGATTTTTTAACTTTTATTTTTCCTGCAAACTATGTAGAACATTATTTTTCGGAAAAACCATCACTGATCCTTCTTCAGCATTAAATTCTGTAAAAAAAAGTTCTTAGGGTCCAGTCTCTAACGTCAACCCTCTCGTTTTTATTTGCGTTGAAAAATATAGATTTTTTGAAATTTCGATTTTTTCCATTTAATGTGTAAAATTTTGATCTCAGACCATAAAGTTTGAGAAAATTTTAGTAGATCGTTCAATGTTTCACAAATCTATCGCTAGTAACAAATTCTGAAAAAGATTCGAATTCAAATTTGAAAATTAATTGAGTTATATCTCAATTGTTATAGGATAATATTGATTTGGACTTCGAATGCAAATAAAAAAAATTACAAAATAAAAATTAAAATTGTCATTTACCACATAGATTTTATTTGAAACAATTGTTTTTGTTTTTTGAGTAACCGGCTTATTACAGGATTTTTTTTTCTTTCTATTAACTGTTGTAATTGGAAAAATTCTTAAAAAATTTAAAAATTGTGTGTAAATTATATGTTACAGCCAAAAACTGTTATATAAATGGAAAAAATAATAAAATTGAAAGAATTGAAGCGTTAATTTAGCGTTTTGTTGACTGTTATGAAGAAATTTTGATATTTTGTTGATAGATTTTCAAATTTTTTGTAAAATTTATTATGATAGCGAATAATCTTTTAAAAAGATAATACAAGACTCACAATTTTGGATCCAAAAGTGATACAAAAATTTTTCTTGGCACAGATTTGTGAAACTTTATGGTCTGAGATCAAAATTTTACACATTAAAAGGAAAAAATCGAAATTTTCAAAAAATCTATATTTTTCAACGCATTAAAAACGAGAGGGTTAACGTTAGAGACGACCCTAAGAACTTTTTTTTACAGAATTTAATGCTGAAGAAGAATCAGTGATGGTTTTTCCAAAAAATAATGTTCTACATAGTTTGCAGGAGAAATGAAGGTTAAAAAATCATTTTTCTATGTTAAATCATTGTAAAATCTTAAAATTCGATGATGGAGTTCTTCAAGTTGATATTAAGGGCTCAAATTTTTACAGAATTTTTTTTATAGCATATATAACAAGAATTTTACGTGCAATCGAAAAAAAAAATTATCGACTTTTTTTGGAACACCCTAATAATTATACGATATAAAATTGACTTTTTGTAGCCTTGCATGCTATTATTGAACATTGAATAATCGAAATATAATGGCCCTTCATGTATGTTTAATATTTAATCAAAATTTTCCTGTAAAGCTATATATATACACTTGAATTTTATTATTCTATTGTGAAACCAATAATCTATAAAAAATTAACAAAGACTATTTCCCTTGTCTTAATTTCCACCAATCACAAACGCGCAATTTTAAATTACAAATGGTTTCTAGGTGGAAAAACTGTATGACAGCACCTGTCAGCAGTTTATTCGAGTTTACCCGCGGCAAAACTTGACAGCTGTTGTCAACAAAAATTGCAATTTATATTTTAATTGTTAACTGTTACTCATGAAATAGTCTTGTCAAATACCATTCGGGCATCTAATTTTTCCTGTGAAAAAAATCGAAAAAACACAATGCTAAGTAATATTTTTTAACAAAAAGCATTCGTGCAGGTGCAAAAATCCTCCTCTTCGAGTCGGATTTTTGTTGCCACCAGCACTCATGCTTTTTGTTAAAATATCACTTAGCAACGTGTTTTTTCGATTCTTTTCGGAAAAATTAAATGCCCTTATGATATTACTTACGAGAAAATTGCTCAGACACCGGTAAATGGAAATAGAAACAGGTCAATTTAATGAATTTTTAAATTAAGAACCTTGCGTCTATTTTTGGTTTTGTTCCAATATCTATGTCACCAAATCGATAAAATAAAGTAGCCAGCTGATTAAAAATTAAAGCATAAATTTCAGGAAGGTTATATCGTTATATGCATATAAATAAATGAAACTTACCTCTAAACCATTGTAAACTTTTCCTAAATTCTGCATTTTGTCCTTTTTTGCATAAGAAAGCAGGAGATTCAGGCATGAACAAAAATGAAAACACGAATATTATCGGAAAAATGGAAGAGACTTGTGCCAAAAGTTGGAAATCCTTTATAAGCCCACCTAGAAATTGCAGTTTTTGTTATATTAATCATAGTACATATTGAATAAAATTTGGTGCTGTTTAATATACACGGTGAAACCCTTAACTGAAACAAATTCATTCATTTTTTTCATCCCAAAAACACAAAATAAATTAGTCATAAATGACTATTTACCACAGTTATTAGTGGCTGCTTTTTCACTTATACCATGGTTCACCATGGGATACCATGGTATTCCCAATATTTATTAGCCAATTATTACGTAAAATTGTCCACTGAATCCGAAAATATTGTCAAAAATTATTAAAGGAGAGCAGTTTTTGAGATATACTCTCTAAACATGAATTAGTCAAAAATAACTAATTTAATAGTTATTATTACCATTATTAACATGGTATCCCAAAATTTAATAGCCAATTCTTATGTAAAATTGTCTCCTGAACCCAAAAATGTAGTCAAAAGTTAAAAAAGTACAACAGTTTTTGAGATATAGTCAATTTTCCATATAATATGGAATTGATTATATCTCAAAAACTGCTCAAGTTTTGAAGGTATTTTTGGTTTTAGGGGGCAATTTTACATATATAGGGCTGAAATGTTGGGGATACTATGGTATTGGATGGGATACCAGGTGTCCCATGGTTAACTATGGTATAGGTGAAAAAGCAGCCACTAATAACTGAAGTAACTAGTCATTTTTGACTAATTCATTTTTAGAGAGTGGATCATCTGGGTTTGGTAACTGAACTTTTAAAATCTTCTTGAAGAAAAGTTCTACATTTAGAGTTTCTGGATACGGTATTATTTTCTTCAATCCAATGAGGATTCCTTTCGCTTGAATATATACAATTTTGACGATTTATTTTACCCTTTAAAGTAAACGCACTTTCATCGGAAAATAGTATCCAATTCAAGGAAATCTGGTTTTATTCATTAGGTTCATCATTTGCTCACCAAATTAAATTCTTCAATCGGAATCATCCTCGATTATCCTTAATTGGATTTATTTTTTAATGTAGTAACTTTATTTATCGTTCTCGCGAGCAATTCGTTGATTTTCTTTGATTACTAATAGTACATTCCACAAAGCAAGGAAAACGAAAAAGTCCAATTAAAACTTTGATAAACAAAAAGAGTTCATACACGTGAAGCTGGTTCTTTTATTTGACCGAGTCAATAAACATCTTTATTAAAGTTAAAATATTAGGTAAGGTAAAAAAAAATTAATTAACTAAGAAAGATACTTAACGTTCGAGTTCTATTTTATTTTATCAGTCTAATAAACCGCTGCCAATGATCTACTTCATAACTTTCGAGCTCTCCTCCAGGAGATAATTCAATTGCCACCAATTGTGCGGCGTTACAAATTGATTTTCTACGTTGCCAACATAACAAAATTAAAGACAAAAACAACATAAGGGAAAACACGCCAAATTCGATTATCTCGGTTTCTAGAGAAATTAAATACTGATATTAAAGCTAAGACGCTTCGTTTTCATCAACAATTATGTTTTTGTCAACATATCTACCAATATGAAAAAATTCCAATCAACCGTTCACTGTGATTTAACCTCTGTTTCTGTAGCTTCGCTACTATAATAGTAATTGTTAAAGGGCTTCCCGGCAATGGTGAGGATCGAAAGGGGCTGTCTGTCGGTGCCTGGTGCGAACACAGTGACGAGGTGATTGGCATTTGTGTATATTTTTTCCGATATACGCAGTAGTTACTGGATGATCTTACCTATGCGCAGTGGATCTAAGATGATGTATGTTTGGGTGAATATATTGAGATGTCCCCCAAGTAAAAATGATTATTTTTTATTTTTGGTTGTTTCACTGTTAGTCTAGAATGGGGTTCAACCACCAGGTCTAGTAATAACATAACATAAGTGGTTCTGCACTAATGCAAGAATTTTAAGAAATCATACATTTTGAATATTAGAGCTTCACGGAAGATAGCTTCACGGAGGTTATGATTTCGTATGTTTTTTTTAAACATCCCTTTGTATATTTGAAATAAGTTAATATATCTTTTGACACCTTAATATTTTTTTAAAATACAATACATAGGTAGGTACATAAAATATTTATAAAAAAATCTACTTACTGAGATATTACATATTTAAATAGCAAATAAATGAACTTAAACTTTTGAATTATAAAACAGCAACACTCTCATCTGCATATAAATTCTAACTGACCTTTAGGAATCACATGCATCTATAATGTCGTAAACAGGGGTTGCATAAAATTTAAAGCAAAAACAGATCCACGAAGGATGGAATCAATTTTTGTAACACCTACATAAATGGTTATAAAAATTATTTCTTTTATTTTTTTAATAATATTTTATATTTGACTCGATTGCTTTGGATGTGTTTAATTTAGTTAGTGAACTGATATTTTTAGTATGGTTTTACTACCTCAGATATTTCAAAACATATAGGTTAACCTAGAAAGAGTAACAGTCACGGAGGATAGGTTTTAGACTTTCAAAACATTGTAAAAAATAATTAATTGCGGTTAAAAATCTGGAACCTGAGCTGTAATATCTACTTAATTATAAGAGATTAAAACACAATAAAAGTGTAGGTCAAACTCATTTAGTTTTATTAAATATCACGGGGTAACACCATCGGGGGACATTTCGTGAGATTCACCCGTTTATAAACATTAAGGTATATGTTTACACTTTGATAAACATGAAACGCACAGAAGTTGGTGTGGGTAAGGCTTCAACTTTTATGCCATACTTTTCGGTCTTTTACGAGTATTAAAATCACTTTATAAGACTTCAACGCGAATTTTCTTTTATTACTCGCAAATGAAATTTATAGGTGATATTAGCGACAATAAAAGCTATACAGCTGTACAGCACAGTATTTAGTACATTTTAATGGTTTCAGCATTATTTTCTCATGGGTATATATACGTATACGTATATATACACGTATACAAGGTGTGTTCAGAAAATATCAGGAATTTTCGTTTTTTGAAAAAAATATTTATTTATTCGTCTACATTAATGTTGTCGCCTTAAAAATAGTCCCCATTGGATATTATGCACATGTGCCAGCTCTTCTTCCAATACTCGAAACACTTCTAAAACTCGATCTTTGGGATAGCCTTTAGTTCTTTCAGCGATGCGCTTTTAATGTCATCTATGCTTGCAAAACGACGGCCCTTTAAGGTTCTTTTTATTTTTGGGAATAGGAAAAAGTCAGACAGAGGCATGTCTGGCGAATATGGAGGCTGGGGCATCATTACAGTATTGTTTTGAGCCAAAAATTTTGTTCAAAATTTAACAATTTTGGAACAAATTTTGCTGTCACGCGTTTCATACCCAAAACATTTGAAAAAATTTCATGGGATGAGCCAATCGATAAGTATACCAACATCATCAGCGACTTCTCTGATGGTTTATAACCATTTCTTCCACTTTTTCCATGTTTTTATCGGTTGTTAATGTGCTTGTGCGTTCGGGGCGTTCGTCATCTTCAACGTCTTCCCGTCCATCTTGGAAACTCTTATACCACTTGTAAACTCTTGTTTTACTTATAGCAGACTTACTATAGGACTTTGTTAACATTTCACAGAATTTATTTCTTTTTTTAAGTAAAATTGGATACAAATGAATCAAATACTATTTCTTTTAACGAACAAAAATCGCCGAGCTCATAAAACACGTCTAACCTTAGCTGCTGCAACAGACAAAGTAAACAATTAAAACAGTTTTTATCATACTTCAGGGGCATGTAAACCAACATAATAAATAAAATTTTATGACAACCGGACCCTCCGAAGCCGCGAAATTTAACAATTCCCGGTATTTTATGAACACACCTCGTATATATATTTTAATACTTCGAAATTTTTGGAGAACGCTTAAGACACAGATACTTCACTGAACGATTAAACTAAAAGTTTTTACATCCAGTAGTGAATATTTATTTGTATAAACGCATTTAAATTTTAAAACTGTAAAAAACGACTTAGCATTAAGGGAAACTATAGGCATATTTTATGCCATATTTCGAGTAGTCCATTAAATAATACTATAAATGTAAAGACATTTGCTATTATTGAATGTGGCGACTTTTCTATATTCCTCAAGTAGATCTACAACTTTAATTTGCATTAAAGTACAGACATGAATAAATAAATTCGACTTCGAGTGGAAATTTCGCAGCGAGGTCATATATTCTTTGAATACAAATCAAGATCAAAAAAGTTTTCGGTGAAATTTTTCCATAAGTTTAACCCGGCCTCTTCCGACACATACACATCCAATCGCTATTTTTCTATTTATGGTGGGTATTCAGAGAAATGAGAACGTACGTCTAAAAAGTATGTAACTTTATTTTCCTACTCAGAGCCCGGGCTCTTAGCCAATCACTAGTTCAGTCGGTCTGGGAACTTCGCAACAGAAGAGTTTTTAAATTTAATCAAGGTTTTACTTTTTACCTTATGATAAGTTGGATAAGATGGAAATGAATTTAATTAAAATATGGATGAGGAAATATCTTTTTCAAAGTTTTAAAGTATATTCTTTAAAAGCTTTCTAAAAATTATATATAAAAGAAAAGTTTTATTAAAAGAAAGAAAAAATAAATTTGTATTATTTTTTGTTTAAAAATAAAATTTATATTATAAATTCTATGGAAACCAAAAATAATATGTTTTGTCCCACACTCACTTAGAATTAAGACATTATACCCAAGCAGCATTATAAGTTTAAATAACTACAACTTTACTACTAAGTCAACTTTAAAGTATTTTTTATAGATACGAAAAATTACCAAATTTGGGGAATAGTTTATTTCGTTATTTTACCTACATAATAACCTTCTTGATCTACTAAGAGAATATCGTAATAAAAACAATATAAATACCACAAATTTACGTAAAAATAACGTTATAATTACTAACTGTTTGCTCTCTCTTTCAAAAACATTGACATTCGTAATTTCTTTGTTCTTTTAATTTATATTTTACAAAATGCTACTTACAAATAATAAAGGTCACCCTAGAGTAAAATTATAAAATTTAACTTAAATTGTCAAAACTAATAATATTTTGCATTAAAACTCAAACGCACATTATTTTATTGATAAAAATAGGCAGGATGCATCTTAAAAATTATATACCCTCTAAATATTTTACGGTTTTAAGAAAAATGATTGCTTGGGTAAAAATCACAGACCTGTGGTAAAAATTCATCAAAACTTAAAACCTACAAAATTTTATAAAATCTTTTAAAAATCATTTAGTTTTAATCATTTTTTAATAACTAAAATTTTCTTTATAGAAAAATATTTATGAAAAAATATCATATAAATGTTTAGATAAGTAATGGATGCCATCTTAAAAAAATTCATTATGGCGACCTGAAAAAAAATTTCCCTTAAAGTCTCATTTTTCACTTTAAGATTATTTTTCCTTGTTTAGTCAATATTAATAGTATTTATTACCACTAATAACTCTAAAAAATACCAGGCGAATAGAAATTATTTACGGTTATAAAGTGGTCTTAATATCGTAAAATTATGACTTATGAGTAACATTTACCATTAGGTAAAAATTCTGACGTTAAAATTACCGTTAAATTTTCCTTTAGGTGAAATACACTTATAAGTAATTTTCTTTCGTAAAAATTACGTCCCTCATAACACTTTAAAGTCTTTAAACTTAAGGGTTATTAAAATAGGTAAAAATAACATAAATAAAATCTATTAAATAACTTTAAAAAAAGTTTTACTTTAAAGTAAATTTTTAAGGTTAATTTAACAAAATATTTACTTAAATTAAGTAATATTGCCTCAAAGCTCTAAGCTTTTACTTAAAATGCTGCTTGGGTACGCTCAAAAAGAATGCACAAAGTAAGCTATTGTTACACTAGTTGCACAATGAAAATATTTTACCACAGTGGTACGCTCGCGTGACAAACAAATGCTCGTTTATAATCGACTATTTTCTTCACTTGTTGCACGATATACTATTAAATAATAGAACACATTATTTTTATATTATTATATTTATTTTTTAATATTGAAAACTTGTAAAAATTTTAAATAAAGGTTGTTAAATGCAAAAATATGGCCACTATGATATTTTGAGAACATTATTTTAATTAAAATTATATAATATTTAATATTATATTTCTAAAACAATGTAGCACACAGTGAAAATATTTTTGTTAACAATTCCAGGAGTTATTGATTTTGCATTGTTACTGCATTAATAATGAATTTCAAGTTTTTGTATATTTTTTTATTTAATTCAATTATAAAAAATAAAGGGCAAATTATTTGTATTCGTATTTTATGGATATATAGGTACGTTTAATTTTTTTAATCCCAATACAGATTTAATCCTAAACTTAAACATAAATATTCACTAAATTAAATATTTTGTTTTAAATTTTCTTTGCAATAATGTTACAAATGTTCAAAATTATCAATTCAACTTTATGTTCCTGAAACTATAATGTTAAAAAGATTAGAATTACCATTTTCTTTAACTCGTCAACTAACTTTTCCCTCTCTATTATAATTGGGCGTTTTAGTTTTTGCATAATCCTATTATGAACAGTTTTATAAACAGATGTATTTGCACGGATTTTCTCTTCTAAGTCTTTTCGCATGTTATAACAATAAAATTTACCCAGGGCATTACATTTTACAACTGGGTCACACATGGATATAACTTTGCTGTTGGTTTTATACCATGCAGCGAGTCTCTTCGACAATCCTTATTTATTTAAAACGATTTATCTCTTAGCTTAAGTTTCTTCTCTACATATTATGAAATTATGCAGGTATACTTAACTTAGTTAAGCTTTCGTAAGACTTTTATTAATTAAGCAAAAAAACTTTGCTGTTGAAAGGTTAATTCATGTTTTGAAGAATAAATTAGAATAAAAAAATGTACTGACGGATCTTTGGTATTTAAAACAATTTAATATTTTTGTTACCTATTTGCAAAAAATTATAAATAAAGCACTTTTTTCACGAAACCAGGGAGCCACTGAATGTCACTGACCTATACTATAAATCATTATTGTTTTTACCTCGAAAAATATTTATATATCATTATTTTTAGAGGTAAAAGCAATAATGATATTTAATAAAGCTAAATGAGTTTGACCTACACTTTTATTGTGTTTTGATGTTTCATAATTAAAAAGATATTAAAGCTCATGTTTCAGATTTTTAACCGCAATTAATTATTTTTTACAGTGTTTTAAAAGTCTAAAACCTATCCTCCGTGAATGTTACTCTTTCTAGGTTAACTTATATGTTTTCAAATATCTAAGGTAGTAAAAGCATACTAAAATATCAGTTCACTAAGTAAATTAAACACATCCAAAGCAATCGAATCAAATATAAAATATTATTAAAAATTAAAAGAAATAATTTTTATAACCATTTATGAAGGTGTGGTGATTCTATCCTCCGTGAATCTGTTTTTGCTTTAAATTTAATGCAACGGATGGCGCTTTAATCATTTTAAGTAAGCAAAAACCTCTGTTTACGGCATTATAGATGCATGTGAGTCCTGCAGATGAGAGTGTTGATGTTTTATAATTCAAAAGTTTAAGTTCATTAATTTGCCATTTAAAAACCTATCCACCGTGAAGTAATATCTCAGTAAGTAGTTTTTTTTATAAATATTTTATGTATGTACAATTGTATTTTTTTAAATATTGAGGTGTCAAAAGATACAATAACTTAATTCAAATATACAAAGGAATGTTTAAAAAAACATACGAAATCCTAACCTCCGTAAAGCTCTAATATTCAAAATGTATGATTTCTTAAAACTCTTGCATTAGTGCAGAACCACTTATGGACCTGGTGGTGGCTTCCCAAAAACCTGATTCTAGACCAACAGTGAAACAACCAAAAATAAAAAATACTCATTCCATACAAGCAAAAAGTAATGATTTTTTTATTAAACAAAAACTTTTTTATTTTTGCGTGTCTCCTTAAGGGAACATAACGTGAACTTATTTGGTGGTACCCTGTATAAAAATCTAAACAAACACGTAGAAAAAACATTTAGTTTTATTACTAAGACGCTGTTCCAATATTTTATTTGTATTTTTTATTATTGTTTCTTTTCTCGAAATTGAAACAGAACACTTATAAAAATATCCCACTTGTTTTGCACCATTTATGAATTTATATTTTACAAAAATACGCGCAGATAGAAAAGAATAAAGAGGGGTTTAACGGATTTAAGCGAAATCCACTTTTTATGCATCAACAATTCTGATGTGCACGGTTTTTTATGACGCGTTCACTCTCTAAATGTGCGGTGATCGTTTAAAATAATCTTTGTATAAAAAAGCACATTTAAACCTGTGCTTTTACATCTTAGTTTAAGCTATGATAATATAGAAACAGGTAAGTTTTAAATAATGTAAGTTGGAGCTAAAAATAAAACAGTAAACCTTAAATTTTTTGCATTTATATCTTTAAAAAAAATTGGGTCAGCTATCTAAGACTAAAAGCTTTTTAATAGTGACATTAAAACGAAATAAACACTCTAAGATCTATTTCAACCCTTATTTTAAATTTTAAGTAAATCTCTCGAAAGGTGAATTATACATTTTATTTACCTTTTACTGTGGTACTGTTATTTCATGCATTTAAATGCTTATTTACACATTTTACAACTTTTTAATGCTTGTTTTATCGATTTAATTAGTTTTTATTTTGCGAAATTGGAATTTTAAATATTACTTACACGGGCTAAAGCAATAGTAGCTTTTGGGGTAAAGTCACAACTTTAGCTATATTTACTATAAATTGCGAGAAGGTTAAATTCGTCAGATATCAAATAAATAAACTACTAACTGCGAATTAAGGAGCACTCATTAAAAATTGGAAGTATGTACTAGTAGCGACATCTAACCATAGTTTATCTAACTAAGCAACAATAACACAATTTGATTATCTGATTTAAAACCTAATATTCTTGCTGGTTTTAGGATTAAAAAGTTAAAAGTTTGAATACATAATTTTGACTTACCCAATATGTACTCTATTAGCAGTCCTATGGTAATTTGAAATTGGAAAAAGGTTCCTAAAGTTCCACGTATAGAGTGATGCGATAGTTCGGCTATGTACGTGGGGGTGGCGACACTAAAACCTCCGCAGGAAATTCCTGCTACGAACCTTGCAATGTACAATTCCCAAACAGAATCGCTGAAAATAAACAAACAAATAAAAAACGATTCGCTATAAATAGAATAGTTCAATGTTTTTTAATTTGATAGACATGTGATTGTGTAATATTAATTTGTACAATTTTTACGGATCAATTACTAGAAAATAAAATAAATAGCAATTTTGTGCAATTGCTTTCATTTAGTATCCTTATTAACGTATTAATTTTCATTTCCACTGAACCAGAGCGCATTTTGCTTACATCATTTAATTAAACTTTTTAATGGACAAATAAATGTAATGTTTCCAATTTTAAAATTATTTTTAAAAATACCCAAAAAACACTACCTATATTAATAATAATTCCTAGTTTTTATAAGAAAGTTTAGAATCTCCTATTATTCTAAAAGATATTTAAGGTCAAAGTTGAATTTACAATAAATTTCAAGATTTTACTACTTAAGCCGTGAAACTATCAAACTTTTCGCAAAAGTTTATGGGACCCTATTTATAAACCGTTTTATTTCCTTTAAATTCTCTTTTAAAAAGGATTGTTAGTTATTTGCATTTATCTAAATTGTAAATTATCTTCAAAAATCTATGCTGTTTATAAATAGGTACTTGGTTATAAAATTAATTGCGATTTTTTTTTTATTTTTTAATAATTTTAAAAACTTTGTAAAAGACACTATTGAGGTTAGGGACCTCTGGGTAATAAAATTAAGAGCTCAAATTTTACTAGGATCATTTTTTTGACATTTTTTTAAGAAATCTAACAAAAAATATTTTTACAAACATAATATATTTTTATATTGGACGAATACAACCGAATTTTAAAATATTTCTTATATTTTAATATTTAATGATTTTTACTGAATTAAAATGTTTACAATTTTTACGTAAAACATTACTAAAATGTGTATTTATTGTATCCAACAGGTACAATTTATTTTACAGGGACTGTAACGGCCACGTAGTGTCACTACTAGCGATGCTTTTTTAGCGTATATTATATTATGCAACGAGTGGAGAAAATGGTCGGTTATGAACAAGCATCAGTTTGACAGGCAATAATAAGAGTTCATAATTATTTTAATAGACTATTATTTACGAGTTTTACAAATCTGATATATCAAAAGCTAAGTCAGTCAGGAATTAATTATAAGCAAAAATAACGTATAACGTAGGGTAAACCACATAGTTATTGGACACTTAAGCAATATTATTTATTTAAAGTTAATATATGCCGTTGTTTTAAAGATTTTTGTTTTTTTCTTTTAGGATGGTTTGTTTGTTTAACTTTATTTACGTTTACTTAAAAATATGAATATTTGAATTTTTAATATTAGTTTTATAAAAAGATGCAAAAAAGTAATTGGACATTTTATATAGTAATTAGACACATGGGCCATAGTTATTGGTTCACATCAAATAATATAAATTGTTAAATATTCTTTAAAGATAAATTGATGTTTTAGGTATTTTTTTTATTTCGTATAATTCATATATTTCTTTCTCGGATTCCTTATCCCTTTTCTGGATTCTGAATGTAACTTGGTCTGACTTCTGAAATAGTTTATTGGATATCATTAAGTGTGGTATCTCTAGTTTGTGAAGAATTTATAATGTTTAGGTAGGAACAGGATGATTTATTTATATATAATATTTTTTCGGATGGTATGTTAAAAGTATTTTTCGAATTTGTTAATTTTGTTGCCATTAGTTTTTTATGTTCTCTATCATGTACTGTATTTAAATCACTGTTATTCTGCAAGATGTCCTGTTACGAAGAAATCACTATATTACTTACTCTCTAAAAATGAATTAGTCAAAAATGTCATAGCGAAAAAGCAGCCACTAATAAATCTCATCAACAGCAATTTGTATCCTGAACATTTAGCAGTCAATTCCTATAAAATATTATTCGCTGAATCCGAAAATGTCAAAAGTTATAAAAGTAGAACAGTTTTTGAACTATAATCAATTTTACATATAATATGGAATCAAAAACTGCTTAACTTTTATAGTTTTTGACGGTCTTTCCGGATTCAGGGGACAATTTTACACAAGAATTGGCTGGTAAGTGTCCGGGATATAAATAGAGTATGACATTGGACATATGTCCAATAATAGAAATTGACATTTTTTACCAACCAGTAATTGGACACTGGCCATTTTACTGTTTGTTTTCAGAATTAAAATTAAAACGCATTAAAGTGACAATGTTTAAACCATGAGGAACACATTTATACTACACACTGATCTGTACACTTTTTAGAAATATTTTTTATTGTAATTTAAACACAGCCCTGCTCTTAACAAAAAACAAAAATTTTAGCACCAAAGTAACGTGCGAACTTTTTTGTAATATATTGGGCCCAAAATAAAGTAGTTCTATATTATTACCGACTGAGATATTTATAATTGTATAAAGCGTCATCTAAGGTAACAATTTATAAAACGTTGTTTAATATATCATCAAAGTTGTCCTTTTTTAAATATTATACCATTTAACTAGTGGAATAATATTTTCATTATTCAACTAGTGTAGCAATAGCTTACTTTGTTTATTGTTTTCAAATAATAATGGACGAAAGCGTTTTTCTACTATTTTTAATTTTTTTAATAATGAATAATAATATCTTACCAATAAGCTATCAATATCCAGGACCCATACAATGGTAAACTAAGCAATAACAATGTTTTCTTAGGTCCCAAAAGTGCCGTAATGGAGCCAGTACATATAGCTCCTAGGCACGCCCCCAGGGTAATAAGGGAACCGATCCAAGCACCTTCAGTAGCAGTTACACTTAAAAAAGAATCGGTCTTTTGTAACATAGGAATAGCAGGGGAACTCCAGGATAGGCTCATACCCATACATAATGCACTTAAGGATGCTAAAAAGATAAAAATTTGTTAAACTTTTTGGTATTTTTTTTACAAAGTATATTTACCAATAAAAGCAGCAAAAAACTGGGGAAACTTTTTGCACTCAATACTTTTCTCATTTTCCAATACAAGGGCTGTCCGCGAATTTTCACTTGGTAGTTCATGTTTCAGGGCCATTTTTAAACGTATTGACTTTAGTGCAACCACATTAAAAGTGACTTTACTAAATTTGGAAACGTAAAGGAAACTTACGATATTTTTTTGTCAAGGGTCAAATAATTTTGATAACTATTTATATTATAGTCAACGAATTAATAACAATTTTTCATTCTTATCTGTTCATCTGTTGTGTTAGATATTTTGGACTTTAGTTCGGTGAATATAACTTTTATTAATTTTATTATGCTATAGCCTAAATTGGAGTAAAATTACAAAAATTCTAAACTACGCATTTAAATGTTATATCTTTGTTTATAAAAACAATTATTTTTTTTTAATTAAGATCATCGCAATCTACATAATGTATGTAATATTTAAATATTAATTCTGCATCTTTGTTCTATAAGAACCATCTTAATCATCATATTTGTTTATTGAAATGAACCACTCCTTTCATAATATTACATTGAATAAAATTTGCGGAACCAAAAATTCAGACCTTGGTTAATCCATTTCAATTATTAATGGTTTATAATCAATTTCCTAAATATCATCTTTAATTTTAAGGAAACTACCAGGTAGGTACTGTTAATAGTATATTATGTATCAAGTTTGATACACGCCATTTTAGTAATGGAGCCAGTGTTTAATTAAAATAGTGTCTCGAAAACGAGTTGCACACTATACTTTTTTACGACAAATACTTATCTAAAAATGATTTAAATGAAATATTTGTACAAAGCGATCTATTAAACAAAAAAAGTATCCATTATTAAAATAATACCTAACATATATGTGATATTTTTAGCAATAAACTTATCATCTATAGATTTAAAACATTTAAACTAATTAAACGTTTCTTCATAATGTCCCTCGTATATCGATATATAGTTTATGTAAAAGAAAGGCGGGGGTATTATACAATATTTAAATAGTAACTAAGGTCATATATAATGGTGTAGTGTGGTATTTTCAAAGAATCTGCACAACATGAAGTATCTGGTACGTAAAATTCCTTTATTTTGTATTGAAATAAACGTTTTTATTTGTTTTTCTTTATATAATTAATTGCTTTAAATGTATATATGTATTTATTAACATTCTAAAATGTTTGTTTTAGATTTTTTTGGGTTTTTTATCTGTGGTTCAGTCCTCAGTGTATCCAATTGGTGTTACAGTGGGTCTATCTGAGCGTAACCATCCTATAGTCTCTATGTACCATGCCCAAGACAACTACGGACAGTACGCATATGGTTATGCCACCCCAACCAGTACCAAATCCGAAACTAAGACAGCAGATGGCGTAACACAAGGAGGCTACTCTTACATAGACTCCAATGGTATTCTCCAATCAGTACACTACGTTGCAGACCCTGTTCATGGCTTCAGAGTCGCTGCTACGAACCTTCCACAAGATTTACCTGAAGTCGCCTGGGCTAAAGCCAAACATCTCGCTGAATACAATGCTATCTCAGCTGAACACGCGTCTGCCAGAGTAGCCTATTCAAACCCAGTTGCTGTACCAATTCACGAGGTTAGAGCTTTGCCACAACCTGTACAAGACCTCCCTGAAGTCGCAAGAGCACGTGCAGAGCACCTAGCAGTACTTAACGCTGCCTACGCAGCCCAGGCGGTCGGTGCTAACATCCCACAAGTCGTACAAGATCTACCTGAAGTCCAGAAAGCCAGACTAGAACATTTAGCTACTGTAGAATCCATCAAGCAAAGAGATGCTGTTATTAGAGCCCAGACTGCCTCTCTTAGCCCCATTCCAAATCACTTTGAGGGTTCTACAGTACCAGTACACACCCGCATAGTCCCCACAGTTGCTGTAGCCCAGGCCCCAAAAGTATCCTATGTACCAGCTCTGTGGAACACACCCATTTCTTCTCAATATCACGCTCAAGACAACTGGGGGCAGTATATGTATGGTTATGTAAGCCCATTAAGCTCTAAAAGTGAAACTAGGACTGCTGATGGTGTAACAACAGGTGGTTATTCCTACATAGATGCCAATGGTGTTTTGCAGACAGTTAATTATGTTGCTGATGCCGTTCATGGGTTTAGAGTAGCAGCTAGCAACCTGCCACATTAAGTTTTGTATTAAGTAAATTTATTTATGTTTGTGTTCAATAAAAATTGTATTGTTTGTTGTATTTTTGCTGTACGTTTTAAGATTTAGAACCTTGAGTGTATTAATAATCAATAGATTTATTGCATCAGATTGAGAATTTTTTTAGGATATAGTTAAATATAACATTCTTGTAGATAGTTTTTTAAATTAACATTACATTACATTTGCATTTTTAATTTTGATTTGATTTTTGATTGATTTTTGTTCTAATTCATTAAACTAAAACTTAAATTTTGGTATAAAATTTATTTCTTAAAAAACTAGCAATAACAAAATTATTAAAAACAAAAACATTTAATAAAATCCTCTAGCTTTAGCATGTGCAGCCAAATGCGCTGCTTTGGCATGTTGTACCTCAGGGGTATCTACTGGGGCCCCGTTGTAATTCTGATGGTATGCAGGATAGGTTTGAGCTGGTGCAGGGGCAAAATTGTTGTAGTGGTTGGATGAAAATCCTTGGTGGTAGGGACTGGCTTGGTGATGGTGATATTGGCCATCGTCATGGTTGTGGTAATGAGGTTGTTGGGATCTTGCGTGGTGGATACGTTGAAGGGCTTCATTGTGGGCTTGTAAGTGGGCAGATTTTAAGGCTGCTACTTCAGCGGTATCCAATGGAGTCTAAAATAAACATAAATAATAAAGTATTAGATTAAACGGTGAGGGCTTACTCCATCATGAGCAATTGCTGGGACTTCGTAGTGATTTCCTGAGTATCCGTACACAGATCGTCTCTTTCTGTAGTGAAGTCCACTTCTGGCTTTGGCGTGGGCTGCAAAGTGTAGAGCTTTAGCGTGCTGGACTTCAGGGGTATCCACGGGATATTGGTGAAGTCCAGCGTGTTGGTGAACATGTGGTACGTAAACACCATTTCTTCGTGCGGCAATGGCGAAGTCATGGTGATGCTACAATTATTTTGTTACAAACATCATATTATTATGGATAATATTTTTTACTTGAATTTTGGCAGCAGCAACCTCAGGGGTGTCTACAGGGTGTGCCGAATGTACATGGCCATACATTTGAGGCATGTAGTGTTGAGGGTGGTACGCCCTTTGTAGAGACTGTGCGTGAGCAGCAAAATGATGGGATTTTGCTTGCTGAACTTCCGGGGTTTCCAATGGGTGGCCATCATGACCAATGGTAGCATGATGGTAATATTGGGCCGCCGAAAGGGACAATAAACAAGATGTAATAATCTAAACATAATATGTATAAGTTAACGTTATAAAGTGTTAGTGTAGTATCTTACTAATAACTTCATGTTTAATAATCCAATATATGTGCACCGAACTCACTTAAACTGAACAAGATTCACTGTGCTTTCGTTCGAGTTTTATTGTATATTTATTGTATTATCCCCATTCTAAATAAAACTATTTCATAAAAAATAAACTACATATTATTGGCAAATTTTTAGAGTCAGCGGTGTAGAACAACGGTTTTTGTCTCCAAAATATGCAGTATGACGAAATATTCTTTCATATTTATTTAGTAATTTATATAATTCGATTTGCAATCGCAAAATAAAAATAAATTAATGGTAATAAACGTTTACTTAGGTGTTGATCAAGTGTTTATGATGCGCTAGTTGTTTTCTGGGTTAGGCCTAACCAGTGGCGGACTAAGAGCGTCTGGGGCCCGGGGCGGCAAAATAAAATAGGGCACCGAGACTTAGTTTATCTTTAAGAAGAGATTTTTATTATATAAAAGAGGTTCAACCTTATTAAATTTGATAGTAGATCCTTTGCTCTATATAAAATCAGAGATATGAAAATTAATTAAAAGTCTATATAGTGGTTCTGGATTTAAAAAAATTACACAGTTAGATTACATTTTAAAACATAAGGTTTTTGACGTATTAAACCCAAATTTTGACATAAGAATTCTTCCCCATTATCACATAAGGGCCTATCTCATATTTAACAATTTTACAGAGCATTTTAAAGATTTAAAGTTTAAAAACTCTGTAAAATTGTTAAATATGAGATACGCCCTTACGTGATAATTGGGACAAATTGATCTATCACAAGAAAAAAACATAGATTTTTTCTACGACCACTATGTAAAAGTCACATTTCGTAATGGCATCGTTGCTTAGAAAATGAATCTTTTCATTGCCAAGGCAAAACACGAATGTAATGTGACATTTCTGTGTGAAAAGTGTATTGTATTTGTATTTGTATGTCTAAATATCATTTATAACACAATTAATTGTGTTTGTATAATAAATTCTAGTTTTTAGTGCCTTTATTTAAATTGAGAAGGTAAGTTTATTGATTAAGTAACTTATACCTTAAAAATTAAAAGAATAAGATGAAAGAATTTTAACAGCTGTCAAACACGTTTTAGGTTATTTTGTTTTATATATATATATATAGAAAAAAACATTGTGTTTCACTTGTGAGAAAAGTTCGTGTTAATGCACACTCGGCCTGACGGCCTCGTGAGCAACTTGAACACTCGCATGAAAAAGTCGCTTTTCAACACTTGTTGTAAAACAAATAACAATATAAGGTACTGTAGACCCCTTACAACCGAGGGCCCAGTTGCACTGGAGTTACAAGAAGATTTGGGCATTTTTTAGGATTTAAAGTAAATTATACCAAAATGTCAGGCTTTCGTTTTAAGGTTAGGTTAAGCAAAAAGTACAGTTTTAAATAAAACATGTGGGATATTTTTATAAATTTTTATTGCACTTTTATTTTGGCATTCGAGTTTACAATATGTATTTACATTAAGTATAAAAAGTGTAAACGTAATATTACGCAATTATACATATGGCTAGTTAAAAAGATGATGGACTCTTGAAAACTACAAAATAATTCGAAAGAGTCCTTGTCTTATTAAAAAATCCAAAAGGCAGTAATGAATTTAGCAATTATCAAAAGAAATTAATTAAAAATTTCTTTTTATCGACAGTAAGTTGTTAATGGTGGGCGGCGGCGTGGGCTGCCAAATGGGCGGCTCTAGCGTGCTGGACTTCGGGGGTATCGACTGGTACGTTAAGACCTGGTACGAGGGATACGTGAGACCATGGGGCGGCGTAAGCCCATGGAGACCAGGCACCGTTGCGGACGGAAGCCTCGGCATGGGCGGCATAGTGTTGGGCTTTCAACGCTTGCACTTCCGGGGTTTCAATGGGCTGACCGTCAGCAGCCAAAGCTGGGTAGGTGTGGGACCATTGGGATCCCCAGTAGGCTGGGGCGGCTACACCGGCGCGAGCGGAAGCCTCGTTGAGGGCGGCCAAGTGGGCGGCTCTGGCGTGTTGTACCTCAGGGGTGTCCACTGGGACTCCGTTGGGTCCTATAACCGGGACATGTTGGTATGCGTACACGGAACGTCTTTTGCGGTAGTGAAGTCCGTTTCTGGCGTAGGCTTCGGCATGGGCGGCGAAGTGGGCGGCTTTAGCCAACTGTACTTCAGGGGTGTCAATCGGGTGGGCTCCCAAAGCCAAGACTGGAGCCACTGGAGCAACAATTACCCCATTCTTTCGGGCAGCTACGGCGTAGTCGTGGTAGTGTTGAAGTTTAGCCTGGGCCACTTCGGGGGTGTCCAAAGGAAGACCGTTATGGGCTACAGCAGGCACTCCCCAAGCAGGTACTCCGTAAGCGTGGACCAATGGAAGTCCGGTGCGGGCTTCGATGTGGGCAGCAGCGTGTTGAACTTTGGCGGCTTGGACTTCAGGGGTGTCCAATGGTACGCCCTGTGGGCCGATGACTGGGATGTGCTGGGTCCATGGAGCCCAGGTGGCCGAAGCCGCGGCAATTACGCAACTTACTAAAATCTAAGAAAAATACATCAGTTGGCTTACAATATTTTAAATTAGGTCCTGTTATATTAAAATTAATAGTTATAGAGTATAAAATATGAGTAAAAAATTAATAGGATGATGAATATGGATAAACCACACCTAAGATTTTATTACTTATTTAATGGTTACGGAACATCTAAGAAATTATTACAATAAATTGTGATTTTATGCGTTTTATGCTTAAATGTAATTAAGAGATTAAAAACAGTAGGTACAACTTGTACAACTTGTACCGTACAAGTCTAAAAGTTAAAATTTTGACAAAATATTTCATAAAATCGGTTTTATAAAATATTTTAACTATTTTATAAAATATAATATTCATATTCTGTAAAACGATTTATATCTTCTCACAAAAATGTTTTTTAAACTTCAAAATTGATTTTAGGAAATGACTTGTCAAAGTTAAACTTTTTGACGTTTACTGTTTTCTACCATGAACGTCAAAAAATTATATTACAAAATTATTAAAAGTTTGTAAAAACCATTGATTTTTTGAAACTTTTAAGTTTTAAAGTCAAAAACTAGTACAAAATTTTTTAAATCTCATATTAAAAAATACATTTCAAATTTGTAGAAAACGGATTGTTAATGTAAAAAAATATGTATAGTTTTTTAAGAAATTGTCAGTAAAAATTTTATTTGCTAAAAAAAAATCGATTCTCAAAAAAAGTCCAAGAAATATCACTTAGCCCTAGGGTTTTAAAGTGTCGAAAAGAAAGGGAAAAATTGGGGAAAAACTGTTTTTTTTTCTTGTTTCCCCAGGCCTTGGAAAAACTTTTTTGGGAAAAATTGAATTTTTTTTGGAAAATATACCTACACTAGACTGGGCCAAAAAAATCAACTATTTTTTTTTTGAAAAGTATATCGAAAATATGGTTTGGGGCGACAAAAAAAAATTATTGTGAAAGTTTGAGTCCATAATATTATTATTAAGAGGTCTATCATCGCAATTTTAATTTTTTTTCCCTCATCAAGTTTTTGTCTCAGAACTCCCAAACCATTGAGTTTAACAAAATTTACTTAAAAATATTTTTTTAAGAAAATTAAATGCTATACAAAAAAGGTTAAATAAAATTTTTCGTCAGATGAACTGTTTCCTTAAAATCATGCCCTAAACATTGGTATAGTTTTACATTTTGATCTTTTAACTTTGGAATTTTGAAATTCACGTAAAAATCAGTACCCATAAAAAAACCGATAAATATTCTTATGTGAAATCAAATGCTCTACAAAAAAAGCCTCTTAACATTTTCGGCTAAATTCACTCAATTCAAGGTTGAGGTAAAGTTGAAGTCAAAACGAAATTCTTGACAAATTTAACCTTGAATAACGTTTGATGGAGTGAATTTAGCCAAAAATGTTAAGAGGCTTTTTTTGTAAAGCATTTGATTTCACATAAGAATATTTATCGGTCTTTTATGGGTACTGATTTTTACGTGAATTTCAAAATTCCAAAGTTAAAAGATCAAAATGTAAAACTTTCCCAATGTTTAGGGCATGATTTTAAGGAAACGGTTCATCTGACGAAAAATTTTATTTAACCTTTTTTGTATAGCATTTAATTTTCTTAAAAAAATATTTTTTAAAAGTAAACAATGAATTAAATTAAATTGATTAAAGAAAATAAACGTAAACGTGAAATATACTGTCGGTTGTTATTTTTGCAAAAATAAGTTCATTAAAAATATCCAACTACAAAATAATAAATAACATATAAAGTTAAATTACAAAATTATAATTTTATAAATCGAAGTGTCTTAGTAAATTAAAATTAAAATTAATAATTATTATAATCTTAATAATAAAATAAATATTTAATATAATCATAATATTATGATTATAATCAGCGTCGGAAATTCACTTTTTTCTCGATATCAGTGTACGGATATTATCTGTAAAAATTTGGAAAATTTGCAATTTTTCGTATTATCCTTTGAATAAAATTTAAAAAATGAATAAAACAATTTATCTGAAAATTTTCCAATTTTTCCGTTTTTTTACGTCGGCTAAATTTGTCCGGAAATTTTAAAACCCTATGTAGCACACACTTAACCACACTTAACCAATAACTAGGTAACCTGTATTTAAAAGTAGAGTACTTACCAAAACTTGCATGTTACCGAACTAATTGCAACCTCCTGAAAGGACTGTTGTGTGGTGTATGTGTGGATGAGCTTTACGGCGTGTATTTATAGGACCCCCCTTTGGCGCAGGGCCCACCCGATGTCCAGAAGAACAAGGTCCCCGTTCACCGATACCGTCGCATGTTCGGCGGTTTTTCAGGAAGTCGTTGGGATTTTTCTTGGGCGGCTTCTCGTCTTTGCAAAGCGATGCTCTGGTCAAGTGCACCATTTTGATGTCAAGTTTGACGATAATTATACCTCTCGGATGATTTATATTACCTTGCTGCCATTTATTGTAAGCTGATACTGTGTTTTTATTATTTTGTTAGTTTTGTGAAATTTAAGGTAAAAATAGTGCAAAATTAAATATTGATAATTTAACGTAATTAATCATTTATTTTTTTTAGATATTGATTTAATTTTATTACTTAGTTTGACCTACGAAATTGTAAAAGATAACGTGATGGAAAATTTAATTAATTAAAAATAAATAAATAAAATATATATTTTAATTTTTTTCACAATTATTTTCAATTTTTGGCAGAAAATTTCGAAAATTTAACTCACAACACTTTTATTTTTTATTAATTGAATGCTAAAATTTTAAAAATTTTGGTCTAATTTTTAGGTTGGAATTTGCCAAACCAACGAGCTTAATTTTACAAATCACTTGAGTCATTGGAAAAAATAAGTAAAATTAATAGTAAACATTTTTTTCGTTGATAAAACACGTTAAAAACTAAGAATTTTTAAATATTTTTTTTAATAAAAAATAGAAAAAAATTTGAATTTTCCCAATAACGCAATATTTTTAGAAATGATTAATTTACACGCCTATAACTAGGACTATTTTTATATACCAATTCAAAATTTTGACATGTTAAATTGACCACAAGCAGTTACAACATTCGTGTTTTTCATCAAAATTCAACGACTTTAACTACTTGATTTTTATAAAATGTTCATATTCATAAAAAGTTGGTGGCATTTTTTCTAATGATTAAAATGCTGAATAAAAAACAATTTAACGTCGGGTTCCGAAATATTAAAAAAATAACATTTAAAAAAAAATGAAACACCCTGTATATTTTAACATATTTTAAACAATTTTATTTGCAACGTGAAATTATTATAGAGTAACTAACCTAAACTTAAAAATAAACAATTAATAAGCACTTAAACCTATTATAATAATTTGTTTATTTAAGTTCAAGTACTTATTAATTTTTTATTTTTAAGTTTAGGGTAGTTTTGCAATAATAGTTTGTTGTTATATCTAAAAATATAAGGGAGTCCCATTTTAAAAAATGTTATTTTGGGAATATTTTAGAAACTCGACCTTCAATTGTTTTTCTGTTTTTACCATTTAAATCAGAAAAAAATGCCAATAATTTGCTAATTTAATGGAATCTTTAAACAACAACTTCAAAGTTTTGTCAAAGAATAAATATAGATTTTTTCTCAAAATATACCATTTATATTTTAGTATTTTGCGTACTTTTCGGATTAAAGTATCCCAAGTGGATTTCCACATAGCCTATAAAAGAATAAAATAATCTATGACTCTTTATTGCGTTCATAATGACTTTATTATAACACCGCTTTCTTCAGTTCCGTAATGAGATACTTTATCCCACCCAAAATTTTGATTTTATAGGTTGCTATACTTTAAATTTTAATATTTTGCTGTTGGTTATAATATTTTTATGATTTTTCTGGCAATAAATTTTGTTAAGCACCAAAGAAAATCCTTTTTTTCTTCTTTAACATTAACAGTCGCTTATAATAAGCGGCTTATAATAAGCGGTTTATTGTAAATAAGTAAATAAAGGACGGCATGGCGAATTGATTTTGACATTAACTGTCAAACCAATGATTGTGATACCAACTATATAAAGTAAAATTAGACCGAATTAAATTTAATTTAATTTAATTTTTTTATAGAATTTTTGCAAAATAGATAAAATAGCATAAAGAACTCATGTCATAAGACCTTCTGTCCCACACGTCCGCTTCTTCGTCGCTCGTTTTATAAATTGTCCGCGTGAAACAAAATGACGTCTTATGACAATATTTCTTTAATAAACTAATATTAGTTTTTTATTGTAATAATTATTATGTTTGTTTGTTTTGGTTAATTAACCTAAATAAGCTTTAAATTAACCAAAAAATAGGAATACATAGAGCAATACCGTTTAGTTCAGTATATTTAAGTTTTATTATTTCAATTCTTTGGGTACATTTTGTTTTGCGGACGTTAGGCTACCATATCACTTTTTACAGCTGTAGTTTGGTCAAAATTGCTGTCGAGGCAGATAGGTGGCAGGTTTGGCGCGTTTTGCCTCAATTACAATTTTGTAATGAAAAAAATTACGAATTAATTTTGTAGAAAATTTTCTTTTTATAAATAATTTTTTAAATTTTTTAAAAATTACCTTAATATTTTTTTTATTTCAACTACCTTTTTATTAATACAAATAAAGCCTTACAAACTTAAGAAATTGATTATTGAAATACCACAATTTATTATCCCATATATTTAAATTAAAAATATATTAAATTATTCTGGAATGTGCATTGGTTCAATTTGTTTTTTCTCCTAATCGATAAATATAAACATTTTTCCTGTTACATTTATTAACAACAAATTGCCCGTATTTAGCATAGAAAATGAATTACGACTTATCAGTACCATTGGCAATAAAGGCTTATTTCATTTAGAGCATATTTACTTTGATATAATAATATGTAAAATATGTGCGAATTTTTCTTGAAAATTGCCGACTGATTTGTTTATTAATAGCATGCAAATGTATCCTGGAAAGTAATGACAATGCTCCCAATGCTAATGCATATAGGTTAGTTCCATTTTTATCGATCTGATTAATGAATATTTGATTAGAAAATGTTATTGGAGGGTTTAAACAGAAGAAATCCATGCATTGTGTCTTAGTGCCTTTCTGAGATTCATTTTAAAAAAATTAGAAGCAGGGAATATTTGGACACAGGTTCTTAGTTCTGCTAGTTAAACCTGGAACACCCTGTATTTATATAATATTTTAAAGTAAAGCAACCTGTACATAATACCATTTATAGGCACGTTGTTACATTTTTAAAAAAGCTTATAGGTTATTGAATAAAATAAATATAACTCTATTATCATTTTTAAGCCATTTATTAATAATAATGACCGAGTTATTTCTATGTTAAACAGGCGTTTAATATTTTTTACATAGATTATTCAAGTTGGCAGTTAATAAAATTTAATAGTTTATCATTTGTAGTAATAAATTAAATACTTTATGTCACATTTTTAAAATACACTAGCTTTTTTAATTTTACTTTTTATAAAACCAAAAGGTGAAGATTTGTATTATGTTATAAACTATTTGGTTACTAGACCGTGAAAAAATGTTATATAAAGTTAAAGTAAATAAATAGTAGGTAAAGAATGCAGGATATTATATACATAAGCAGTTTTAAACAATTTATTGTGAATTTAACATATTTAAAAAATTAAATTAAACATTAATCGGTGTAATATCGTTTAATATTGCGAATTAATTTATATTTTTCACGCATTCTAAAACCAGAAATAAGCATTTTAGTATTTTGCTTAATTTAGTATTAAAATTCAGGAAAAGTGTTAAGAATAAACAATGTTGCAGGAAATAAGTTTGACTACTTTTTATAGCAAATTTAAATTCTAGTAAATTTTCCCATAAAATTATAGTAATTTTTTTTTATTTTAATTATGTTAGTAAATTAGAATTCTATCCATTCACATTCAGCATTTTAAGTAAAAAAGTCGAGCTATGCAAATTTATTACTTAATTTAAGAAAATATGTTGTTAAATTAACCTTAAAAACATTAACATTAAAGTAAATAATCTTGTCAAGAATTAATTATAAATGTTTTACTTTCTTTAATAACCATAACGTTTCATAACTTACAAGTATATTAATAATGTTTATTTAACGTAATTTTTACGTAAGAAAATTACTTATAGGTCATTTTATTTCAAGGGATTTTTAAAGGTAAATTTAACGTAAATATTTTCACGTCAAAATAAATTTTACTAAGAGGTCATATTTTTACTATATTTAAACCAATTTATAACCACTAAAACTACTAACCAATATGTCTTTATATGGGTAAATCTTACGAAATGTCCCCCGATGGTATTACCCGGTGATATTTAATAAAACTAAATGAGTTTGACCTACACTTTTATTGTGTTTTGATCTTTCATTATTAAGTAGATATTACAGCTCAGGTTCCAGATTTTTAACAGCAATTAATTATTTTTTACAATGTTTTAAAAGTCTAAAACCTATCCTCCGTGACTTTTACTCTTTCTAGGTTAACCTATATGTTTTCAAATATCTGAGGTAATAAAAGTATACTAAAAATATCAGTTTACTAAGTAAATTAAACACATCCAAAGCAATCGAATCAAATATAAAATGTTATTAAAAATTAAAAGGAAGAAATTGATTCTATCCTCCCTGAATCTGTTTTTGCTTTAAATTTTATGCAATCATTTTAAATAATCAAAAACCTCTGTTTACGACATTATAGATGCATGTGATTTCTTATAATTTATATGCAGATGAAAGTGTTGCTGTTTTATAATTCAAAAGTTTAAGATCATTAATTTTCTATTTAAAAACCTATCCACCGTGAAGTGTAATATCTCAGTAAGTCGATTTTTTTATAAATATTTTATGTATGTACAAATTGTATTTTAAAAAAATATTAAGGTGTCAAAAGATACAATAACTTAAAAAAACATACGAAATCCTAACCTCCGTGAAGCTATCTTCCGCGAAGCTCTAATATTTTCTTAAAATTCTTGCGTTAGTGCAGAACAACTTATGTTATGTTATTACTAGACCTGGTGGCTTCCCAAAAACCCCATTCTAGACTAACAGTGAAACAACCAAAAATAAAAAATAATTATTTTCACTTAAGGGGCATCTCATCTCAATATATTCACCCATACAGTGTGGCCACGGAATTTTTTTTTCAATTTTTCGAAGAAAAATCATTCCTCATAATTTATTTTGCTTGTTATATAAATACGATTTACGTTGAGAAAATTCCCGTTTGTTGTGTACAAGGTACGCAAAAAATACAATTGTAGATTTTGATAAATTAAATTTTTTTAATTAAATAAATTTCTCTAATATGAAGAGCTTGTTAAGAGAAACCAAAAAGTCAAATAATTTTTTTTTCATGTGATTTGTTGTTACTAAAGTAATAT